TACGAATCAGGTCATGCAAACATATGTCAGAGTCATTGTACACAAAACAGTATAGTAGAGTTATAAGTCTGGCAGATCTAATGAGTAGCTCACCTGTTCTGTGGGTTCCAAGACTTTTAACACGGTGAAATCAGCTTGTGAATCACTGTAGAGATTTATCTTGAACTTGACATGGAATAGTTTGGTCTCACCAACTATTTGGAGTAGATCTGGAGGGGGTACCTCATTGTTCTGACCCGTCCTATTGAAAAGATCATTCCCACTGACACCAAAGAAGCGTTTTGCTTCATACTCAAAGATGATAAAGGTCGCTGGCACAGAACTGCTTTCAACATCAAGCTGTATACGGTATCTGGAAAGGCACGAAATGGAAATTCAGCATATTCAATGAAGTTTATAATTCAAGGATCTGATGGAATTTCTTTTGGAACTCAATGATATGGTATTTACTTGGCAGCTCTTGTTGGTGTTGGCTTGTTGCATTTGACACAGTAGTATTCTCCATGTCTTTCTATGAGTTTAAGGACACAGGTTGGACAGCCCATATAACACCAAAATGGCTTGATTCCTACGACTTTGCATTCAACAGCATACACACATTCCTAGTTGTAGTCGAAGTGAATTAATATTGGCGTATAGATTAGAGAAAACACCATAATGTAAAATGAGAGAAAACACCATAATCTAACCTCATTATCAGGGTCCAATTGAAGTTCCAGCAATTCCGATAGAGTAATATTAGGGATGAAGGGGGGTGGGGGTAATTCAACAAACACGGGCTGCTGTGGTTGCACATTCCTTTTTTCAAAAGAAATAAATATGTTAATTTGACATTGGTTCAACACTATGGTTCGGATATTCATTAGCAATTAAAAGAGAAAACCTGGTTGTGAAAGCCTTTACTTCTGGGATATCAAGGTTGGGATACAACACTGTTGAACCCGAAGAATTAAAGCAAAGTTCACCTGAAAAATTAAATTGATGTTGTTCCCACTGATCAGTCACCCATATATCTCAAATCCAGCACAGGGTAAACAGATGTTGTACCTAGGAAGGGTTTGACAGAAACCGCAGTTACAACCAGTATGACTTGTTCATCATCACCAGGCTTGATCAACTTATCAAAGTCAGCTACAACTCTTCCCCAGATAATAACTTTGACAACATCCCCTCTGTAAAACAACGTAGGCTTAGGTTTGACAACATAAGTAATGCCTAAGCATGGGTGTAAATGAACACCATACAATGAAGTGACCCATATAAATGTATATGATCAGAGGCTGAATAACCTATGATCTAAATTTATACTGCCTAGAAAAAGTAGAACGTTGTACCCAAGCAATCATCAATTATTCATGTAACTCCAAATTCATATTGATACAACCGTAGCAAAGATAGCTCTTACTCAATTAGTTTCAGTTGCAGCTCCTTCCGAATGGTTTTCCTAGCAAGATTCGTTGTCTTTATGGCATCCGAGTGCTGTACTACTTGCCCAACAACATCTATACAAAGAAAAGTTAATGGAAATTAGACGCAAGCAAGCACAGAAAGGAAATCAACCACTGAATAAATTGCGGTTGTAACCTGAGAGGACGACCACATCATTCAATTTAGATGCCATCTCACTTGCTTTGAGGAATGTGAATTTGAAGGCAGGAATGGAAGGGACATCGGGAACATGCTCAAGAGTAGTCTTCCGGGAGAACGACATGATATATGTATTGGCAATGGGGCGATATTTCAGTTGGGTCGTATGAAGCTCAAAGTTTTTAATGGTGTAGACCTGCTGTTCCTTCAGCAATCGTTTGAAGTGTTCTTGCAGAACTGGTGGGATATGCACCCATATATCATTCCCCTGGGGATTTATAGAGACGAAATAAGACAGTCTGGATGATATGTGACGCATCTAAAGTTAATGTTAAACACAGCCGTGCCTTGGCATCCATCAAGATGAGATCGAAATGCAGGACTTTATCAGTCGTCACATTAACACCCAACCATGCCCTGGAGACGCGACAATGCCCTGACCGGAGTTGTTTCTCGGACTCAAGATCTCGGATGCCATTGAATGCCATGGTGTAGCTACCAAAGTACATAAGCACTTAGTTATAGTGTAGGAATAGGAGGTTGGTTTGATGGAGGAATGAAGTGGGAAAAAAATTCTGTGAAGAAGAAGTTACCTGGCGGGATTTAGCAAGCGTCAACTGAAATATAAAATGAGCCGAGAGATTTAGAGAAGGTATATATATATGGATTCCGGTTGGGGCAGTTACCAATTGCCCCACGTTGGCAAGCAACAGCAACATCTTCGGAAGGTAACTGCTACACCAACGTGAACTGCTTATTCAAAGGGTGTAGAGTTGGAGATGGAAATAGGGGGGGAAAATTCAAATATGTCAGTAATAAACCAATGTAAATTTCCCAAGGACCGACAACGCGCCAAAACAGAGCCAGTATACCTTACCGTCCATGTTCAATGAGTACCTGGGATTGAAAAGCAGCTCGGTTCCTTTTATTCCCCGCTGCCGCCGCAAAGAGGGCCAAAGTCGGAGCTGACGCTTTGACTGCGTGACGTCTGATTCCAGGTGGAAACCATCTTCCAACCTGCACCCGGTTGAATTGAATTGCAATGTTCGGGGCGGATGTAGTCTGGGCAATTGGTTGCTTCTTCCAATTAGGGATATGGGGAGATGGATATTTGGGGCAGGTGTTCTGCATGGGGAAGACCGGTTAGCTAGCGCCATCCTCAAATAAGCGTTCGCTGCCGACGGGGATCAGAGACTGTGGTCGCAATTCACGCGCCGGTGAAAGGCAATGGTAGCGCCAAGAATTGTGTGTTGTACTCTAGCCTCTAGGGTTGGAGCTCGATTCCAATGATGCTAGGAAGCCGCCCAAAAAACCAAAAAAAACCATGTGGGCCGAAACCTCCTCCACTGTTGATTAGGGGAAACGACATTCACATATGAGATCTTGTTGTGGGCTATAGATGGACCGTCATGTGTAACAGGCCCATGTGAAATATCTTTTTCACTTGTTTATGTAGAATGGGTCCATTTATATAGCTATCTACCTTAGAAAAGTATACAGACAAAAGCACATATCCTAAACTGAACTTTTCCCTTTACACTGGCGGCAATAAAAGTTGGGAGAGTGAAATGGGCTTTGCCACATTTCTGCCAATTCATTTACCATTTGTTTTTTATTGATCAATTAAACTATAATAACAGAAAATTCTCTTTCGGTAATTTACATTTAACACACGGGAAGATTTAATTGGGATGGTGCAATACATCCATCCCAATGACGTTTTTCTCAGAGTAAAGGGTTTTTGGAACTCAAGCGATCAATATGGTGCACTTGTGCTTGAATGGTGAGTATTCCTGCAAGTGAAATATACAGATCAAATTATTATGATTTTGTAAGACCTTCAAAGTTGATTTAATGTACTACAAAATGAGTCGCAGGACTATGTTGCTTAAGACGATCCCTTTCAGCAGCGGGTTGTTGGTTGGGAGGAGGAGTTGAAATTAGGTGTGTCATTTTCTCATAAACGCGAATCAATTGACAATGCATCGCTAGGGTTGGCTGCTTGATAAAATAAATGAATACCATTTTGAAGTAGTGAATTTTTTAGCCAGTAAATCACTCGTATCATTGAGTAAAAAAAAATAGTTAGGTTTTCATTTATTTATTATGATTTGACAAACACATATCTGTATGGTCAGCACAAATTATTGGTTGGTATGCGTGTCAAAAGAAACAACAACAAAAAAAAAAAAAACCTTGCGGATGAATAATTGTATTCTTCATGGTTTCTATTGGTTTTTCAGTTTTAACCAAACCAAAACCATTAAGTTGCTTATTGGTTTAAAACAAACCAAACGAAACAATTTGCTTTCCAATTGGTTTGTGTTTGGTTAAAACCCAAAAAACCCAAACCAAATGGACAGTCATGGCCACGTTTGGATCAAACAAATATAAAAACCAAAATAAATCAAAACAATAAAAACCTCCCACCCACCCGAAGACGGTTTAACTCCCTTCTTCCTTTCCCTCCTCCATCGCTCTCACCTACCCTCCAGTCCCTCCACAGAAACCTGACCATCCACATCCCCAACCCGCCATCTTCTGCTTCTCCTGCTTCCCGCTCCCGCCGCAAACCCCGACCCTCCCACAACGCTCGCTCATTCTCCCTCGTCGAACAACCCTAGCGTCGAATCACCACTCGCGCGGACTCCAACAACGGCACCGAAGCACGACGTCACTATTCACTCGCCGGCGAGAAGATCAACAGTCCAACCAAGCCATTGCATGCACTCATGATCCAGCCCTCCCTGACTGACCGATATTAGTACCATCTCTACATCTCCAGGAGGTAAGTTCTAAAATCTTACCGCGTAAAGACCCAGCCGAAGACGTTTCAACTCCCTTCCTCCCTGACGCCTTCTTCTGCTCTGCTCACTCTCCGGCCAACAAAGCAACTGGAAACCCATTCCAGTGCATGCACTCATTTTCCAGGCCTTCTCTCTGCCTGATCGACGTTAGCCCTATCTCAGCATCTCTAAAAGGTAATTTCTAAAACCCTACCTCGGCAAAATCTCCCCTTTCCTCTCATCAAGAACTTCAACCAATTTTTCCAGACCACTCATCAATTACATTCGCTTGCTGGCCTTCAAATTAGGTTTCTCCAGATCTACTACAATCTTATCATCCAGAATATTTTTTTTTTTTAGTTCGATACTCCAAGGAAACTTTGTATGTTTGTATTGACACATTCATGTATTGGGTTGCTATTGTTTGTGTATATTCGGGTTTACATAATTAGTTGATTAGTTTTACAGCTCGAACATTTGTTGATAGAGTTGTATGTTTGTATTGACACATTCATGTATTGGGTTGCTATTGTTTGTGTATATTCGGGCTTACATAATTAGTTGATTAGTTTTACAGCTCTAACATTTGTTGATAGAGTTGCTAATATTGCTACTAATCTAAATATAGATTCTTTTCCATGGGAGACTTCGTTTCAAATCTGCGATATGAAGTTGCCGCAAGAATTTGGGACAATGTAGAAACGATTGATCTTATCCCTATGCAATTGGATGTTGCTAATCAGGTGAATCAGATAACATGTATTTTATCTATCCGGAATCTATATTTTATCTAAAGAATTTGCATCTAATTTGGTCTTATTTTGAACTCCTTATGTTTTGGCTTGTACCAGGGCAAGTCATACATTTTCAATGGCTGGGTCACAGAATTGAGGAGATCTTGGCATGCCGACTCCAACATATACTTGCTTCACTTGACAATTGAAGATTTCATCACCGATCTTGAGGTCGTATTTCCATCAGCTTACTTACGGCGAGTCATGTCTGCTGTTGTTGGTCCTGATGAGATGGAAGATGTGGAGTACATTCCACTACTCAACAGGATTGGTGAGTCGCCATATAGGGTCTTGGTCACATTCGGACCTTGGAACAACGTGGAGAATCGTCTTGATCTCTTCTTGGTTAAGTTGTTCCCGATTTTAGATGACTAAGTAGCGTAGGGTATTATTAATATAATCGGATTAATGTTAGTAATGGTCCACCTCGCTCTAATTTCGAATTATCTAACCGCGTAATGGATATGTGAACGCAAATATTTTTTGAAAGGTTATTATCCTTTTGAGGTGGTCCTTCATGTAACCATATTTTGAGCATCATATAATTTTGCTCTTTGTTTACTGTCACCTTCCTTGCTATTTGGTAATTCCTTTTAAATTATTGTACTCTAGAGTTTAGAGTTGGAACTCGCTGCCAAAGCATTTAGGAAGCCGCCCAAACAAAATAAAAAAACCCCCACAGGCCCAATTTAGTTAGGTGAATTTGGAATGTATCAGCCCGGCTGTGTGTAGTCATTTGCCATGGGTTTTGCCAAAACTCTGGCCCGATTAATTCATGAGCCACATAGGAAATAAGCCCATTTTCCAGCTAAAATATAGCACCACTTGTTTACTGTCACCTTCCTTGCTATTTGGTAATTCCTTTTAAATTATTGTACTCTAGAGTTTAGAGTTGGAACTCGCTGCCAAAGAATTTAGGAAGCCGCCCAAACAAAATAAAAAAACCCCCACAGGCCCAATTTAGTTAGGTGAATTTGGAATGTATCAGCCCGGCTGTGTGTAGTCATTTGCCATGGGTTTTGCCAAAACTCTGGCCCGATTAATTCATGAGCCACATAGGAAATAAGCCCATTTTTCCAGCTAAAATATAGCACCACGGCAGCTGAATATGGGTTCCGTGAGATTCTGATGGAAGCATTTCAACAGCAGTCTTTGGGCCGACTACGTCAAGGGGGAAGAGTTTGGGCCGGATACTTCAGGGGGCAACAGCCCGGTCCGACTATATAATAAACTGGCCCGGTCCACCGGCAGAATGTGTTGGAGGTGAAACGCACAGTTTTATTTAAATGTGAATTGCCTAAAGTACCCTTCCGACAAACCCTCTGCGGGCTGGAAATTTGAATCCCTGCAAACTAAACACTTGTTTTGGCTTCATATATCTTATAGATAAAAGGACTTAAAGAAAAAAATTGACACTCCTGGACCCGTTTAAATCCGCATGTGTACGGTAAGTTGGCCCGTTCCACAGAGGAAAAAGAAAAAAATTGACACTCCCTACTCTACTCTTCCTACAAACGCTCCTGGAGCAGGGAATTTGAAATGGGGGAAGGGTTTTTTCCTCTCTGCAATTATATGTTTTTAATTTAAAAAGATACAACAAATGTACTTAGTGTGATTGGTTATCATCTTTGTTTTTCTTTAAAATGGTCATGGTTCGAATCCTAGTAAGTGTCTTTTTAATAAATAAAAAAAGTAATTGTGAAGACCAAAATGTCCTTCCTACTTTCACTCTAGATGCAGGAAATTTGAAATGGGACTTCAAGTTTTCTCATTTGGCTTTTATTTATTCGGTAGACGAGATTAATAGCAATAGCTTGACAATCGTGCCGGGGAGAGGGGCATGGGCGATGGCGGTGGCAGCGGCAGCGGCGTCGAAGGGGTCGATCAAGGAGAGGCACACGAAGGTGGATGGGTGGGGGCGAAGGATCCGGATGCTGGCGGCTTGTGTGGCTAGCGCTATGAATGGCATAGTCATTTCCACCGTCTGTCTGAACGATTCCCCTGCCGACAAGCAAATTTTGATGGAGAAGCACCAATCGTCGGATGCGAGATGGACCAGGTGCATCACTCAGCGACTTGTATGTCTGGGTTGGCTTCGAATGATGGGTAATCATGCGACGATGATGCTTGTCTCTCCCTTTCACTCTCTCACTGACGAATTCACCAGAAAATTGAACTGGTTATTGATGAGTTTTTGGCTTGAAACCCAAAAATGCAGAGGATGTAGTCTCTAGAGGAAGCGTGGAATGGAACCCACACCAGTGGATATAGAGAGCGGTTGTTGGAAGCACAAAACCACAATGCAAAGCAGTAAAGAACAAAAAGTTGTAAACTTGGGTACTAGTGGCAAAATCGGAGCAAGGAATTTGGGGATTTTGACTTTACTTGGATGGATCTCAGGATTTCAGGTGACGAAGAGGTTGGATTCCGGCGATGGGGAGTGCAAGGACTGAACTGGCGGTCGAAAGGGGGTATGATAGTAAACAAAGCTTTCTTCGTGATCCAGATCTGATGGCGAGGGAGGCGTTGACATGGTGGGTGCAATTCTCAGAAGAGGGCGTTGCGGTAGGAGAAGGGGGAGAAGAAGAAGAATTGGCAGTAAATGGTCCAGTCAGCAGGCTGCAGGAGAGGGGGAAGAGGAGAATGAGGTAAATTAATTGTTTTTTTTTCTTCAAAATTGACATGTCATTAGTTAATGGTCCAGTCAGCAATCTGTTTGCCACGTCATCAAAAAATTAACGGAGTTGATGGAGACTAACGACAGGTAACTAACGGTGAAACGATTTATAAAGTTAGTGACGAATAAGAAAGAAAACTAATTTGGATGATAAACGTGAAAGACTTATATAATTTGAATGATCAAACGTGTAATTTAGCTATCTTTTTTACATAAACTATCCTTTCCCCCCAAATGTAAAGGGTTACATGGTTAAGTATAGATGTCCCTCATATTTTAGTATTTTACACAATAATCTCGTTTCTTATTATTTCCAACCCTAAAATGAACACTTGTTCTATTATCACTAATTCACTACACAATAAAAAAAATCGATGGCAAACTTTTTTATACATATTTTGTAATCATAAATCAAACATTGGTTACCGGTATTAGTATCAAAACAATATAACCGATTCAAGTTGTTCTTATAATATGGAAAATTATTTTGTAATTGGATGCAAAATTTATCCTATCGTTCATTCATACCCAATTGGTATTCGAAAAGTCCATGAGAATCATCACATATTTTGTTCACATAACAGAGGACCACCTACTAAAACGAAATGAAATCCAAAAAGTAAATAATGTTATCAACGATCACGGAATTTTGTACACTTGTTACCCCGTAGGGAGATGAGAACATGAACATCCTTCACTCTCTATGAAGCATACCCACAACACAAACTGCTGATTAGAAAATCGAATTTGTTAGTGAAAAATTCTATAAAAAACACACAATCAACTTATAAGCCCAAAATTTCGTTATATGTAAGCCCAAAACTGCTGACCGGCCTTGTTGCTCCCAAGTCCCAACTAGTTGCTCATCCCTAGGCGCCAGCCTATTAGCAAACGGATCAACATCAACAAGGAACAGTTGCTTGCCATGTCAACCCATACCTACTTTAGCCGAATGTCTTGTGGGCCTTTGTTTGCAATCGTAATAGCGAAGTGGGCCGTCCTCATGCATATAGACAATATGGCCTTTGATGCAGGCCCAAGATTTCTGGCACTTAGGGGTCGTTTGGAAGTTGCGATAGTTTTGTTGAGATTGTCATTATGCATGTATTGTTTACAATGCATTGTTTTTTTTGTTTTTTTAGCAAAAACAATACATGGATTGTTTCTGTGATGTGACAGAAACTATCACTCATTTTGAGTGATTGTTATATCTCAACTTTTAGTTGTGATTGTTGAGATAGTTGAGTTGAGATTGTTTTGTTTCAGCTTTTAGTTGATGTGAACACAATCACACATACCAAACGTTGTATTCTACAATGCATCAAATTCGATAATACATGTATGATATTATACATGCATTCTCAACAATACATCTATTTAACACCTGGAGGCGCAATTCGCCGCTGAAGAGAACAGCCGCTCATTACGCTTCCTGCGCTGGGGCGGGCGCGATCCATATCGTTTGGAGCGAGATTGAACCGCCGTCGGAGAGGTTGAGAACGGATCTCGACAGGGCCGTGAGGTCGAAGTCGTGGAGAGCTGATATCCGGGTCGAGATTAGGGAGAACGGCGGCGGCGGTGGGGGGAGCGGCAGGTTTAAGCCGATTGATGGAGTTAGAACGGACGCGATTTTCTCTGTGGATGATGGCGTGATTGTGCCGTGTTCGTCTCTGGAATTCGCTTTCTCGGTGTGGAAGACTGCTCCCCTGACCATGGTTGGATTTGTTCCGCGCATGCATTGGCTGGATTTAGACCTTCTGGTGAGTGAGTTACTGAGTTTCAATACCTATGGAATTCTCAGAATCTACCATTGGTTGAGTTATGCAGTAGAGGTGAATCAGTTAAAAGTGCTTTAGCTTTATGGTTGGGAGAATGGAGCTTAACGAGATAAGCTAGTTGGGTGTGTTCATTGTTGGATCAATGAACTAGAGATGTTAATGGGTAGTTTTTGCTTGACGGCATCTTTTGGGGTTTAATCTGATCTTGAGCTCTTCTCAAATGTACTATGCAATTGCAGAAGAGTGGTGGTGTGTATCATAGATATGGAGGATGGCTGTCAGTTTGGTGGATGGGAAGCTACAGTATGGTTCTGTCCAAGGCTGCATTCTTTCATAAGAAGTACTTGGATTTGTATACTAATGAAATGCCTTCACCGATGCAAGATTATCTAGCTAGAGAAAGGCAAGCACTCATCAGTCATCACTTAATCGATTCTCATGATTCCTTACTCAAATTGTTCTCTGCTTCGTAGTGTTGGCTGACCTCGGTTTTTCTGGTCTGCCACAGGAATTGTGAAGATATTGCAATGTCTATGGTCGTGGCCAACGCTTCTGGTACTCCTCCACTTTGGGTCAAAGGTAAGTTTAACTATTTCCCTGTAACTACATCACTGTCAATGTCTCTCTACTGCTCTCTACTGATGTGGAACCCACTGCACCTAGTTTGATTTCTAAGTTCATACACGATTTCATGTGAACACTGGAATTTTGTGATGGAAAGTAATGGGAAGTTAAAGGGTAATTGAGTTGGAGGGATTGATAGTTGATACTAAAGGAAGGAGTCATATACATTTGGTGTATGGTTCAAAGGGTTGCTATATTAATTCTCTAGGTAGTTGGTGAGCACTTGGATTGGCTGCTGTGACAGGAACAAAGAAGTCATTATAAATGTTCCTGTCCCTGTGTCAGAAGTACATAGGTTCATAAGGCTAAGAAGAAGGGCAACAACGAAGCCATAGAAAGATGGTAGAATCAGATTGCAGATACTATAGGGCATCTCACATTTAAGGCCTTTGCATAGAAAGTCCAATATGTGCATTGAATGAAAGGCCTTACCTAAAAGTCGTTTCCTTGTGATATTCAAGTCTAAGAGGACAGCTGAGTCAATCTTAAACGCACGGGTCACTGCAATAGGTGGTTGGCAGTTTCCCACGTTCTGGAATTGCTTCCGGTCAATGCTGTGTAGTCGAGTTTTCCACTCTTGTGAAATCATTTATATGGTAGAACTCTGGAGGGGAAGAGAGTGGAAAGGGAGTCTATTAACAACCACAGTAACTAAACTTTTGAGGCAATAACGAATCGGCCCCTTCGTTCATCACCATATCAAGTCTCTGTCTAATGTGATGAATTGATCCCGTCATAGAAATCTTCTTCTGCAAGTTTCTTTTTTTCCCTTTCATTTCCTGCTGTAAATGTGACGCCGGCTGAAGGTTGTGGAAAAACTGCAAACAATTTCAGGAAAGATACAGGAGATCGGTTCGTGGGGGACGAGTAACGGGAAAGGGAAGGAGAAGAGGAACGAATGCCTGAACGAGTTGCTGTCGTTCTACGAGACTGTGCCTCGCCTCTCCTCAAATGTGAAGGTCGTGAATGCCAGGCAAGAATGGTTCTGGTAGTTGTTGTTGTTGCCCAATTGGCCGTGTGCTTTCCATTTCAAGTGAACCAGAGCAGACACAAAAGCAAAACGTGAAGTCTCTGCTTCACTGCACCTTCCAGTTCCAGTTAAAAGCTTTGAATGCCCCCATCTCCATCCTCATTGCCAATTGCTTGGTTCAGAAGACACGCGTTATCTGCATTTCCCTGGATCGAAAAGGAAACTGATGTATTCTGTATTTCTGTAGCGTGTATGATTTTAGATACTGACGCTTTTAGCATGTGGAACATGATGACAAGTCGAAAAGGAATTAAGGAACTAAGCTAGTTTCTAGATAAAATACTAAATGGGGGTATTACCGTATACGTTTTCTGTGTTTTCAACTGGTGGAAAAACTGGAAATGGTGGGTTTCGTCAAATTCCATACACCCGAATCCAACTAAGAAACAATCTCTTAATAGGGATGGTTTACAAAAGATTAGTATATTCAAATCCGCTCTATATCTATGAGATGACGGGTTTTGTAACTTCATCTCCATACTCGTGATTTTCGAATATTCATGGATAACACTGTTTTGTATATTCAATTTTATTATATCTAGATTTAATACAATATTACTTACTCAACACATATTTTTAGTTATAACATCACATAGAGCTAATAAACCATAAAACCAACAAATATTTATAGCTGTTGTTAATTCAAATTCAAACTATCCAACCTTCCAACATCGATTAGTCCATAAATCTATAACTATTCTTGGTACCCAACCGATAAAGTTTTTTATACATAATTGTATATATAGAGATTTTATTTATGGGGCAGATATGAGTATTAGAATAGGACAAGACAGTCTAAAATCATACCCACCTCATCTGATCATCCCGTTATTTCTTTTGCACGTTTTACTCAATACCCAATCCACGATGGTGAAGTTAATTGATACCTACTATTTTTTTTTTTTTATGAATTTGATACCTACTCTTAAGAGTTGACTCGTGGGGTTTTACCCGAAAGTCTTAATCTTGCTTGAAATGGAAGGTTGTTCTTCAAACAAAAAATTTCAACTACCATACGTCTTTACACAATACGTGTTCGGATTAGCATACTTATTACATTTGGATCTGCTCTAGACGGTATCAAGAAGTTAGCACGTAATTGCTTTGTCGATCTTTCGTCGCCGGCCACCATCCCAACTGTACAAGCGGCGGCGATCATTCTGCCAATAGAAGAAACAACGTGGTAGTTGTCACTTTTAGGTGGGTAGTGGGTTGGACCCTTTTCCAATAATCATTATCAGACTTAGGACGAGATTATATTTGATATGGCCGCCACGGATTGGATTTGTCAAACGTCTCTTCTGTTGTCTAGGAGCCGAGACTCCGAGTAATGAAGATGCATGTGCAGTTGTGCAATTAGACTTTGGCTAAAGCAAAGCGCTTTTTAGCTTTTGAAAGCTCTTTTTTAGAGGCAAACTTGTCTCCTAATGAAGAATGAGTCTAAACTCTAAACTAAGCAGCTGCACCAGCGGCGCTGAAACTGAAGAAAAAGCGAAATGAAATGAAATGAATACACCCCACTTGACTATATATATACCACCATCCCGTATGTAATTCTATAAAAATTAGTTTCAATATAGCTAGAAGCATGTTGACCACTCTTTTATCATTAATTTGACAACCAAAGTCTTGTTAAACTATGTGATCGGACTCGACAATCGACGAATCGTTGTTGAAAATCGACGACTATATATAGATGATGATTATACTGCTGATGCTGACCTTAATGTGACCATCTGTACGTAGTAGTTGATGTTGGTATATGTAGTTTGTTCTTACTCGTCAACAAGAGCCGGTAATGGTTGTCACTCATCGACCATTGTTGATGTGGAGAGGTCATTTAGTAAATAAATTTTATGGCAGTAGAATTGCAAGGAATGAGTTGTAGTACAGAGGTCCGATGCTCTTATGTCAATTTAGAAATGTTGAGTTCATCCTATTGTATATGCATAATTGAGGGTTGATTATATATTTTACTCAAAATTATGTGTATCTCTCCCCCTATGCTTATATGTCGATTTCAATCGACATTGGTAGTTGAAATTAACTCTTGGCTCTTGTTTTTGGACAATTGGTAATCATGATCTCATCTCGATCAAGTTCATTGTTTTTTTATCTAAAAAATAAAATTTTCATTGTGAATGTTTACAAACCATCACATATATAACTTCTCTATTACAATGTTTCGACATGACCAAATCATACTAGAACATCATCACAAACTCCATCGAAATATCTAATTATGGCACATTAAATCACATTTATTCATGTAGAGAAGTTCCAAATAATATTTGATGAACGAATTGCTTTGTTTTGCTACTCCCATGACTTGATCTCCAAGTCCTGCAAACCCTTTACTTCTTACTGAGTGTACGTATGAGAGCTCTTCAATTTTAATCAAAAATCAAATGGCGGAGTAGATGAAAATGGCATGAAAATGAATGCTTTCGATATTAATCCTATAAAACGCAATTCAAATCCATGGAAGCAGTCAGCAACATAGATTTGTCAACTGATAAATACTAAATAATCCAAAATTAACCAATTCACACACAGAAATTAAATAATGTTGTGAGGTAAGCTAACCAAGATTTTCCACTTTTTGTTCGGTAGTTGGTAAGCAAGTTGTTGGAGGACTCAGTTGTAAAGAATTAGTAATGTAGGAACTGTATTGTAATGTTTGTTTATTATGATGTTTGTTTGTTTATTTTACAGTTGCAGATTATGTATATATATGTAAATAAGACTATGTAATTTTTCACCCAATTATCAATAATACAAGTAGACAATTTTCCTCCAAGATCAACATGGTATCAGAGCAAATAGAATCTTGTTCTCTCTCTTACTTTCCCCTTTCGTGCTAGGGTTCCATATCCTCGTTTCCATCGCTTCGAAACTTTCGCTTCTCCTCGATTTCGTTCGCGTCTGCTCGCTAATGGCGATTCCATCGGCGCAATCATCGTCGGCGAGTTTCTCATTCGCTCCTCCCGCTGGGTTGCTCGATCCGAGTCATCCCTACTTCCTCAATCCCGGCGACAATCCTGCGCTGGCTCTGGTCACAGTCGTCTTCAACGGCAACAACTACTACGCGTGGGCTAGATCGATGCGTCTCGCGCTTCTGGCGAAGAACAAGCTCTCGCTGATTGATCCTGCCGTTGCTCCACCTTCTTCTGGCGATCCTCTCCATGGAGCTTGGGAGAGGTGTAACGTGATGGTTCTTGGCTGGATCTACCGGTCGCTGGCTCCAGATATCGCCCACAGCATCCTCTGGTTTGATTCAGCAGTCGATGTCTGGAAAGATTTGCAAGATCGATTTAGTGAGGCAAGTCTGATTCGCATCTCTGATCTCCAGGATGAGGTCTTCTCATTCAAGCAAGGGAATGCTACTGTGAGCGAGTTCTTTACTCGTTTTCGAGTTCTCTGGGATGAGCTGGTGACGATTCGGCCGTTTCCTGTCTGTTCGTGTACTCCAAGATGTGCTTGTGGCGCGTTGAACGTCATTCGCACATATCAACAGTCGGATCAAATCATTCGGTTTCTCAAAGGTCTCAATGATAGCTTCTCTCAGATTCGCAGCCAAATCTTGCTTATGGAGCCTCTTCCACCGATTACTCGTGTCTTCTCCATGGTGATTCAACATGAACGCCAGCTTAATCCGTCTACTGGTTCTTCTTCCACTCCTCTCGCCATGGCTGGTCGCTCTTCTGGACCTCCTCAAGGTCCAGGACGTGGTGCTGGAGCTCGACAGAGACCGATCTGTACACACTGTGGAGGTGTTGGCCACACTGTGGATCGCTGCTTCAAGAAGCACGGATATCCACCGGGCTACAAAGGCAAAGGCAAAGTCAATGCGGCAGTTGGTGATGGTTCTGGCGAATCTTCTTCTGCGGGTGGATCTGCTTCTGGTGAATCTGTGGTTCTGACCTCTGAGCAGTACCAGACACTTCTTGCACAGGCCTCTCAGTCATCTACACCAAGTTCGGTCTCCTACCTCATGACTACTGAGCCTGGTGCTTCGGTTCCTGCAAGAAACCAGCCTGCTGAACTGGCAGCTCATGCTGCGGCAGGTAAGTATCTCTTTGCTTCTATATCTCCTGCATCACTGAATGATTCGACTAGAACATGGATCATAGATAGTGGGGCAACTGATCATGTGGCATGTTCATTGGATATGTTTGTTGAATTTCGACCTATGACTGGAATGTTTGTAACATTACCTAATGGCTCTAGGATTAGTGTTACACACAAAGGTTCTGTGAAACTCTCTGAAACTTTACTTGTGCATAATGTCTTGATGATTCCTTCATTCACATTTAATCTGCTATCAGCTAGTCAGCTAGCTAAGCAGAATGGATGTGAATTGATTTTCTCCCATTCTTCTTGCATTATTCAGGATATCCCGTCCCGGCAGAGGATTGGTATAGCTAAGCAGATTGCCGGGCTGTACTACCTCCAAGTCGACTCTGGACGTGATTCTACCAATCTATCTCTTCCTATCGCTTTATCTGCCATTTATGACACAACCATTAGACAATTTGATTTGTGGCACTATCGTCTCGGTCACAGTTCTGTTCCTGGTCTTAGCACTAGTAATAAGTGTCAAAATGTGCATTGTTCAGTCTGTCCTGTTGCTAAGCAACGTCGTCTTCCATTTTCATCTAGTCTTTCCTATGCTGATCATGTGTTTGATTTGATTCATATCGATATATGGGGTCCATATGCTGTTCCTACTGTAGATGGTCATCGGTATTTCCTTACTATCCTTGATGATCATTCTCGCAATACATGGTGCTATTTGATGAAGACTAAGTCAGAAGCTAGATCTCTTGTTCAGTTTTTTTGTGCTTATGCCCAGAATCAGTTTTCCAAACAAGTTAAGATCATTCGAACAGATAATGGGTCTGAGTTTAACATGCCCTCATTCTATAGTTCCTTAGGAATAATTCATCAAACAACCTGTACTGCTTCGTCACAACAAAATGGCCGTGTTGAGCGCAAGCAACAGCACATTATTGCTGTTGCTAGAGCACTCCTAATGCAAGCTTCTCTCCCGGTTAAATTTTGGGGACATGCTGTGTTGCATGCTGTCCATCTCATTAACCGGTTACCTACTCCAGTTCTAAGCAACAAATCTCCCTTTGAATTACTTTTTCATAAACAACCAGATTATAATCTTCTACGTGTTTTTGGTAGTTTATGTTATGCATCTACTTTAGCTCACAATCGTCCTAAATTCTCACCTAGGGCAGAGCCGTGTGTTTTCCTTGGCTTTCCATTTGCCACCAAAGGTTATAAACTTTATAGTTTAGTATCACATAAAATCTTAGAGTCTAGAGATGTTTCTTTTCACGAATACATCTTTCCTTTTTCGACAAATGGTCTCCCTCTTTCCTGTTTAGATCAGGCTCTTCCATTCATAGACATTCAGCCACTTGATTGTCCTGTCTCTCATAGTATACCTTCCTTAGTTCCTCCTTCCTTACCATCTTCCACTGAAACATCAGCTTGCATTCCGGCCAACATTCCTATTTCTTCCCACAATTCTCCACCAACTGGTGTTTCAACTAACAGCAGCCAGCCTCTTTCAACTGGCAGCAGCCTGCCTCTTCGGCGTTCTAATAGAACTCGGGTTCCTCCCAAGAGACTTAGTGACTTTATTAGACCTACTACTCAAACTAAGTACCCGCTTTCCCAAGTTCTCTCTTATGACAGGTTGTCTCCTGCTTATAGACGTTTCATCATGGCAATCACAAACGAGACAGAACCAACTACATACACAGAAGCTGCCAAGGATGAAAGGTGGGTTGAGGCAATGGATTTAGAACTTCTAGCATTGGCTAATACCAATACTTGGACTCTAACTCCTCTGCCTCCAGGTAAGCATGCTATTGGTAATAAATGGGTATACCGTATTAAGTTTAAACCCGATGGTAGTATAGAAAGATACAAAGCTAGATTAGTTGCAAAGGGGTATACTCAAACCCCGGGTCTGGACTATTTGGAAACTTTTTCACCAGTTGCAAAACTTACTACTGTTCGTGCTTTACTTGCTTTAGCATCAATTAAGAATTGGCATGTACAACAATTAGATGTTAATAATGCTTTCTTGCATGGCGATTTAGTTGAAGAAGTATATATGAAGCCTCCTCCGGGTTTATCTTTACCATCTAAGAACCTTGTTTGTAAACTAAATAAATCGTTGTATGGTTTAAAACAGGCTAGTCGTCAATGGAACCACAAAATCACTCAATTCTTACTTTCTGCTGGTTACACACAGTTTAAGGCAGATTACTCTTTATTTACCAAGTCTACTGCTGGCAAGTTTCTTGCTGTCTTAGTTTATGTTGATGATGTAATTTTGGCTGGAGATGATCTAGAGTCTCTTAACTTGCTAAAATCCCAGCTAGACGATGCTTTCAAAATCAAGGATCTAGGACCCTTGAAATATTTTTTAGGACTAGAAATTGCTCGTTCTACTGCTGGTTTTTCTGTTTGCCAACGAAAATATACACTTGATCTACTTACTGATGCAGGCTTACTTGCTGCAAAGCCAGCTGCTACACCTCTTGTTGCTGGAGGGCAGCTTTCTGTAAATGATGGTACTCCTCTCTCTGATCCTGCAACTTTTAGAAGGCTTGTCGGACGTTTACTTTATCTCTGTCATACTAGACCTGATATTGTGTATGCAGTACATCATCTTACTCAATTCATGAGTGCACCTACTGATGTGCATCTTAATTCTGCTTATAGAATACTTAGATATCTTAAGAATAATCCAGGACAAGGTCTATTTTTCCCTAGTGATTCGTCTATTAAGCTTACTGGTTTTTCTGATAGTGACTGGGCAGGCTGTCCAGATTCTCGTCGTTCAGTAACTGGATATTGTGTGTTTCTTGGGGATTCTGTTATAAGTTGGAGATCAAAGAAACAACCTACTGTTTCTCGATCTTCCACTGAGGCAGAATACCGAGCCATGGCAGACTTAACTTGTGAGGTACAGTGGTTGCACTACATATTTCGTGACTTAGGTGTTTCATTTACTTCTCCCACTATTCTGTTTTGTGACAATCAATCTACCATTCGCTTAGCTGAGAATCCAGTAGCTCATGAACGAACAAAGCATATAGAAATAGATTGCCACATTGTTCGTGATCGCATTTTGTCAGGATTGATTAAAGTATTGTTTGTAACAGTGAGAATCAACTTGCTGATATTTTCACCAAGTCTTTGGCAAGTATAGTGTTTGCAGGTCTCATCTCCAAGCTGAACCGTGTGGATATTCACGCTCCAGCTTGCGGGGGGCTGTTGGAGGACTCAGTTGTAAAGAATTAGTAATGTAGGAACTGTATTGTAATGTTTGTTTATTATGATGTTTGTTTGTTTATTTTACAGTTGCAGATTATGTATATATATGTAAATAAGACTATGTAATTTTTCACCCAATTATCAATAATACAAGTAGACAATTTTCCTCCAAGATCAACACAAGTCCCCATCAGACCTAAAAAAACAAGTAGCCCACGTACGGGAAATCAAACCAAACTTAACCTACGATATTGACTATTAATGAGTTTGAATGATATGAATTACTATTACGGACAAAAGAAAAACTATCCAGTTCAGGGACTAATAAAACATGTCACTCTGATTAATATGCATGAAGAAATTAAGACGATGCAGAATTTAATGAGCACAGAACACAAGAATTTTACGTGGTATCCCTGTTTGATGTGAACAGGACTAATTCACGATGAGCTAGAAGGAGCTCACGACTACTTATTTAATTGATGGCTGCTAGCTTGCCTTAACATAAGACTCGTCTAAGCTATTTATAGAGAGACTTTGACGAACAATACTAGGTAAACAAGGACAAGTAAACCTAGTACAAAACTAACACGGTTACTTGGACACCAAGAAACGTAAGTAACCGTAATACTCCCCCTCAAGCAGGAGCATGGATATCAAGCATGCCAAGCTTGAAGAGAAGATGCTGAAACTGGTCGATACTCAAGCCTTTGGTGAGCAAATCCGCGGGTTGATCAGACGTGGAGATCTTGCGAGGCACAATATCAGAGGAAAGAACACGCTCGCGAACAAAGTAGCAATCCATTTTCACGTGTTTAGTTCGCTCATGAAAAACAGGATTAGCCGAAATGTGTAACGCGACCTGATTATCACAGTAGAAAGGAGTCGCCTCAGTCATGGGGACGCCAAGCTCGAACAGTAGCCACCGCAATCAAACAACCTCACTGACAGTGGTAGCCATAGCACGATATTCAGCCTCGGTGGAAGATCTGGCAACAACAGACTGTTTCTTGGTGCGCCAGGAGACGGGAGCACCGCCAAGACGAATGAAACAACCGGTAGTAGAACGCCGAGAAGTGGGGGCATCCAGCCTAATCAGCATCACAGTAGGCGATAAGACGTAACGGGGTGGCGGCCGGGAAGAAAAGACCTCGGCCAGGAGACTGCTTGAGATAGCGGAGAACACAAACAGAGGCAACAACATGGGCCTGGGTAGGAGCATGAACCGCCTGACTTAAGATGTTAATAGCGTACTGAATGTCAGGACGTGTGACGGTGAGGTAGAGGAGCCGATCCACGAGACGTCGATAACTGGAAGGATCAGGTGCAGGAGAAGGCAGACGACCCAGTTGGTTCGATTTGTTTTTATATATCTTGTTGATGCCATTGGACGAGAATGTGATATCAGTGTAGTATATTTCCCTTGAGAAATGTGAATTATTTGAGTTTGTCAAAGTTTTAATATCTACTAAAAATTTATAGCACGAGACACAGGCCCTGTTCACTTTTATTTTCGTTTCCTGTTTTCTGTTTTTATGTCATAAATTTGACAACCGAAACAAGAAAACTTGTTTACTTTTCATTCTGTTTTCTATTCGTTTCCAACTATGAAAACAGAAAATGGAAACTTCCTACTGTTTTCAGAAACAAAAAAATGTTGTTTTCACTTGTTTTCACCATTTGTTTTCTAAAAAATAGGAAACAGAAGTGAAAGTAAATAGGCCTTAATTGTTGAAACCTTGGAAGATAGATAGAGAGCGAGAGACTTTACAGACAAGCATATGCTCTGAATTTGTCAACTGTCATCGGATGCTTAATTCTCTTTTAAGACTCTGTTATTATTAATGGACTCGGCGTGAGTCATTATTAGATTCCAGCATGCGTGCTATATCGGTAATTGTTATTAATCAGCAGCGGTTAAATTCTTCATGCAATTTCTCCTCTTCTCCATCGCGTTTCATTGGAGTTCCTTTCCATTCATTGGCTTGCAGCTTGAGCTCTTAGCCCCACCCAGATAAAAGAATAATCCGTATTAATAAAAAAAAGTGAAAGGATATATGATAAATCTACTTATATAATTCAACGAAATTAAAATCCAGTCATATAAATTGAGTAAATCCAATGTCAGTCGATTTCCACCAAAATTGACACTTCCCCTGCAAACAGCACAACAGAAAATTTCGGAGAGCCCACAACTGCAAGAAACGGGAAATTTGGCGAGTTTTAATACACTTGACAAAAATAGCCAGCCAATGAAATAAAAACAAATAATATAAAACAAGAAGACGTCAAAATTTTCAGTCTGCCCCACACATTTCTTTTCCCTTTTCCCTTTGGTCCACCCCACTCCCCACGCCCTTTCTTTCTTCCCCCATTCTCCCAATTCCCCAGTCAGAGTCATGAAACCCGCCGCCTAGCACAACCCCCGATTTCCTCCCCGGCGAAAAAATCATGCCGTCTCGCTCGATTCCCTCGTCGGAGCAAACCCTCCATCTCCCCGCCGGCAATGAAACCCCTCCCTCTCCATCTCCCCTCGCCCACCACCACCGGCTATCTTCCCGCCAACTCCTCCCCCCGCTCGCCACCGCCACGACCACCACCGTGGCTTTCTCCTTCCTCCTCATCTTCGCCGCCTGCTTCCGCAAGCTCACCCAGAAGCGGACCGTGCCTTCCGACTCCAAGCCCCCTCACCGCTTCCCTCACTCCGCCCTCCGCCGCGCCACCAACAACTTCTCTCCCGCGCTCCGCCTCGGCCAGGGCGGGTTCGGGTCGGTCTTCCGGGGAACCCTCCCCGACGGGCAACTCGTCGCGGTGAAATTGATGGACTCCGGGTCGCTTCAGGGGGAGAGGGAGTTTCAGAACGAGCTCTTCTTCGCCTCCAAGCTCGAATCGCCTTACGCTGTCACCGCCATGGGATTCTCCGCCGACAGGAAGCGGAGGGCGATGCTGCTCGTCTACGAGCTGATGCCCAACGGGAATCTGCAGGACGCTCTGCTCCACAGGAAGTGCCCCGAGCTGTTCGAGTGGAAGCAGAGGTTCAGCGTCGCCGTGGATGTCGCTAGGGGGTTGGAGTATCTTCACTCGTTGGATCCGCCGGTGATTCACGGCGATGTGAAGCCCAGCAATGTTCTGTTGGACCAGTTCTTCTCGGCGAGGATTGCGGATTTCGGTTTGGCTTGGTCGAAGAAGGCGGCGGAGGAGGAGGGGAATCAGGGTGATCCGGGGGAGAATCAGGTCGTCGTTGAAAAGAGGAACGGCGAATTGGAGATGAAGAAGGTCGAATTGGAGGCGGAAGATTGTGGATCTGTGATGGAAGCCGAGAGCGTGACCACCGCAGGGTTCGAGGAGTTCGGTTTGGGAGTGGACCAGTCGCCGGAGAGCGTGTTCAGGGTTCCGGTCTCCCTCACGTCGCCGGAGACAACCGGGGGTGTGAGTTTGTCGCCGGAGACGGTCGGGGTGCCCGTCTCGCCGCCAACAGAGGTAATTGTGAATATCGATAAAGTTAGTGTAGCTAGCGGGAAAGAAGCAGGGGAGTTTAAAAAGAGTGGGAAAGCCTCAAAGAGTGGTAAAGATTGGTGGTGGAAACAGGACAATGGCGTCCCCGCCGCTGCCGCCGGGGCGGCAGCGCCGGTGAAGGACTATGTAATGGAGTGGATTGGAACAGAGATCAAAAGGGAAACCCCCAGCAGCGAATGGATTTCAAGTTCAACTCCATCGACCAGCAACCAACCGATTACCAAAACCAGCAAAAAGAAGAAGGAACGCAAGCGATTGGATTGGTGGGTATCACTCGACGAGGAGAAGGAAAAGAAGATTCTCAAAAAGGAAAGGAAAAGGGCGCCAAGGGAATGGTGGAAAGAAGAGTACTGCGAAGAGCTGGAGAAGAAGAAGAGGAAGCAGAAGAAGAAGGAACGAGAAATGGGCATTGTAAAGGGCAACTCCGCCGAAGATTGGTGGCCTGCTGCAGGGGACGGAGAAGAATCATACACCGGAGGAAAGAAGAAGAGGAAGAAGAACAGTAGCCACGATTGGTTCAGCGGCGAGCTCTTCAGAGGCCGATTCAACAGCCACGACTCGCTCAGCGGGGACATTGCAATCCCCAAGAGCGGCGGAGTCAGCAGCACGCCGAGCATGCGAGGAACCGTCTGTTACGTGGCGCCGGAGTACGGCGGAGGAGGGGATTTGTCTGAAAAATCCGATGTCTACAGCTTTGGGGTTTTGCTATTAGTTGTGATGGCAGGGAGGCGGCCCCTTCAGGTGACGAATTCGCCCATGTCGGAGTTCCAGCGAGCGAATCTGATACATTGGGCTCGAAACCTGGCTCGAGCAGGGAAGCTGATCGATCTGGTCGATGGATCGATACGAGGTTTGGATCGAGAGCAGGCCACATTGTGTGTCACGGTGGCTCTGCTCTGCTTGCAGAAGTCTCCGGCTGCTCGGCCGTCGATGAAGGAGGTTGTTGGGATGTTGAGTGGTGGTGTTGAGGTTCCTGCTTTGCCTATCGAGTTCTCGCCTTCGCCTCCTTCAAGGGTTCGGTTCAAGTCCAAGCAGCGGAAGAAGGGAAGTCTCAACACTGATAAGCCATTGTAGATGATTGGTTTTTTGTTGGTTTCTTCTTTCCACTGTTTTGATTGTATAGAAAAGGAAGATCCTTTTGACTTTACAGTGAAACATTGATCTTGTCTAGATAGTTTGAGTTTGAGCTGTAATAATACTGAGCTAAACGGGGCAAGAGTTGTCTCTGCTGAAGCTCCATTGATGATCAGTGTTGGATTTTAGAGGATTCGGTTAGGGAAGAATGGCTTCCTTGTGTCTCTGATTGCACGCCTGTGATGTATTGTCTCGATCCATTTTTGCCTGCCATCCATTTATGGTAGCCGAATTTTTTGCTTCTGCAACTTTGGGTTCTTTACTTGTTGCTCACGGTACTCGGCTCTGATGGATACAATACGGCATTTGAGGCTTGGCATGATCTGCCGTGCCGACGGATCGCTGGGAAAATGACACTCGAAATTCATCCCCTACCTGGCTAGGGCCTAGGTAGGAAGAGGGTAAAGCTGAAAAGTTGGTTTTGTCCTGTTATATGCTTCAGAAAGCCAGTACAGTGAAATGTCTTCTTCGATTGATGATAATGGTTTTGCACTGAATAGAACTGCGAGAAAACTGACAGCAGATGGTGATCAGGACTCAAATCCACGATCACAATTCACAAAAGCCAAGAAGAAGTTAAGTAGATGATATTGTTTAGAGCAAATGATCAATCATCAACATTTAGTTTTAAACTCTTACACTATGTTCACGAGAGAGGGAGAAAAAATTGGGGAGGGGAAGGAAAATTTGGAGGGAGTGAAAATTTGAGAGTTGTGAAATAATGAGCGAATTTTTGTTTGATTTTGATAAGGTACTACTTAATCAATTCTTTTTTATGATTAAGGTACTACTTAAGGGATTCGAACTTGGGACCTCCAGGTTCTAGGCTAGTGGTATTACCACTATAGACTAAGTCCTTATTCGTAAAAATGGGTTGGGGGACTCGAACCCGCGGCCTCATTAATGAACAGTAGTGTTTCTCCCCAAGCGGAGGGGCAACTGCTATAGTAGATTTCCCCCCAAATAATTACTCTCCTGTACTGAATCAAAACTTATGAACAAAGAAAAATTCTAATTATCTCTTATGCACCCATTGCCATCCCTACAAAAAATAAATAGGAAACACCGAAATTTTATTCCATTTTTACCACACCAAAACTTCAACAAAAGCAATACGTAATTTCCTTTATCAAACACACACGGTTAAACGATCCTTCTTCTTGTTCCAGAAAAATCTGGGAAATTGGGAGGACGATTGACATTAGTCGATCGCTTTCAGCGTTACCGAGTTGATGTTAATTCATGGACTAGGTTATCTTGGTCCTATAATACAACGCAATCAAGCCCATCTAAGGAGTGAGCTCGGCCTGTTGTGAAAGAGGTTAGGAAATGCGGTCCAAAAGCCCAAACAAGTCCACTTAAGTTGAGCCCCATAAAGAAATGAATAAAAGAGTCCACTAAAGTTTGATCATTCTCCTGATATAACTAACAGATAAATAATCACATGTTGTGCCATTCAAGATTGTCAACCACCCGCCAGTTTATCCTTTTGATCCTCGGCGACGGCGATAGACGAAGAATGGTTGGAGAAATCTACGAAATACTATATAGCAATGTAAAAAAACAGGTTTTGCCACATCAGCCTTTGCTGAAATGGCCGCACAGTGCGGAGGGTTTTTATTGTAAATTCCAAACATCTCCTCTCGCCGCACACCTCGGTGGAGCTTCCCCGGCCCATCTCCTCTCGCAGTTGCCTCTGTTAATTCTCTGTTTCCTTATGTCGAGAAGCCGAACCCTTTCTCTACCTGTCTTCTGTCTCTTGGCTTTTGTGGAGTGGAACCCGCCTCTGAGATATCTCCCTCCCCTTTCTCATCCATCTCTTATCATCGCGATGGGCATCCAGTTCAGTGGCTGAATATTTGGCCACCTTATATGTGATTCCACCGTCAACAATTTTATGGTGCATCAATTTGCCTCAAAGATTCAATTAGGTACCGCGCACCATGCCGCTATTTCCTCGATATATAGTTTTTTTGTTTATCTTGGTTTTCATGGGATCTAATGAGACGAGATTGTAAGAAATCCAATTTCCAGGCTAGGTGATTTTGGAGAACCAGCTTTTTTATCCGTAACTCAGAGAAGACAAACCATATGTTCTTATTCTTCCCCTTCCTGTGGTTGTGCATCACTTCGCGTTGCTGCACTTCTTCCGCGCATCGAAGACGACGACGGCCAAATGGGCTAGAGCCCATTCTTATGCTCTTCTGTTTCTTTTCACTTTGGGCTTTGAGAAATGGAATCACATGAGGCCCACTCACCCCTTTCTTCAGTCCCGTCTTATCCGCTTGGCTTGACCGTCTCTATTCTTGATTTCTTTCTCTTCGCTTCATTGTTTCTCTTGAACCAAATATACAAGCAAGCAAAATGACGAGAAAATCACAAGGTTTTACCCTGCTCACCGAAACACACTTATAAATTGTATGTTTCTTAGCTTTCTATGTGTTTTCTCTCTCTTTCTTCTTGCTATTGATGCTTGCGTGACTATTTTTTATTATCTTATAATTGTATGTTTGTTATCTGAATACTACTTAGCTTTGCATTATTACTTTATTAGTCATTAGTTTTTTTTATATATATGTTGGTTATTCATACTTGGGTCAATTAAAATCTATTACTAGCATTGTGTACAAATAGTGTAGAATTTTGTTTTTTGTGACACTATAACCATATTCGATATTTTCACAATCGAAATAGTTGGATTTGTTATTTATAAATTTCAAGGATTATTATTGTGAAGTAACTTAATAGAGTATGAATTAAATTATATATGAGAGAAAAGTTTAGTATAGACTTAGTTAAGCCACATATTGACCTAAACTGAGGGTTATGATTGTTCTTTTGAGTTTGAGGAACATTCTATTTTTATACCATTTTTTATTCAATGATGTTTATGTTTCATGGTCTCTAGGTGTTTTGTCTACAAAATATTTTAAGCCAATGTGCAAAAGCCTGCTTTGCCACGTAATCCCCCGCTAATTAACCCGCACAGTTCGGAGGTGCAGTTTAGTCAATTCCGGAGCTTCGCTTTCTTCCTCGCCGTCTTCCAATTTGAAACCGAAATCGACGCTTTTCTGTAGCCGTCTTCGCTCTTCCCCAACAAAATCCTTCTTCCCGTCCTTCTTTGGCGTTGAATCGGAAACGCTGGGGTTAGGCTGGGTCTTTTTGTGTGCATCTTTTTAAGCTACAGGTTGGGATTAGTTCTCCAAATCGTCCTCGATCTGTAGACGAAATTCTCTTCCAGTTTTCCCCAACCAAATCCTGCTTCCCGTCCTTCTGTGGCGGTGAATCGGAAAATAGAAGCTATGCTGGGCCTTTCTATGCTCATACTTTGAAGCAACAGGGTGGGATTACTTCTCCAAATCGCACAGGTATTGCATCCCGAAACCCTTTCCGAATTTGGGTGTGTTCGATGGAGGAAAGTGACGCAAAAGCAGATGCATTCTGCATAACGAAGACCTTCTGACCGTCTTTCTTTGGCGCCGAATTGCAAATTCGAAGGTATCCTGGGTCTTGGTCTGCTGATTGCACTTCTCCTAGCTCTGGTGTGTTTCTTTTGGGTGCTCTGACTTGCAAGTGGGGTGGATATTGCTGCTGATTGTTTCCCGTGTTTGAGCCTAGGACCGGTGTCTCCATCACTTCTACTAGCTCAGCTGTGTTTGTTACATAACTGTCAAAGCCAGCTGAACTTTAGTTGAGTGAGTTTCAGCTATTGTCAGGGAGTAGTGGTTTTGTAAGATAAACAGGTTGTTTGTGTCATTTGTGAGTTCTTGCTGTCAAAATTTGCTGCATTGTTAATATTTTTGATTGCTTCTCTTTGCTGTCATTTCTTTTTATTGATTCTGTTTGTTGCATTTTCCTGAGTATCAGATTGTGTTTGCTGTCCATTTTTGCATAGATTTTGTTTGCTGCACTTTTTTCTGATAATCTGATTGTGTTTGTTGTCCATTTTGTGATTGTTTATTTTTGCTGCATTATTCTGCTTTTTGCATAGTGTTTGCTCCATTTTCAAATTTCTGATGCTGTTTGTTGTCCAGTTTTTTTTTATTTTCTTTGTTGCATTATTCTGTTTGATTATTGAAGTGAGTTTGCTCCGCCCTTGCTAGCTCTATGTAGAGTTGAATTGATACTCTAATTGTAGTTGAACCATTACAAAGCATAGTCTTAATCAGACTGTACACTGCTATGTATTTGTTTGGCTTTTTCATGTTGACATTGAATTTTATTCATTAAGATTTTGGATCAAATGAATCTTAGTGGCAGATTATACTTTTCGGATCTCATTGTGTTCCTCAATTTTCAAAAACAAACCCGGCCAACGGGCCGGGCCCAATGCTAGTAAGTAATAGAAAGGAAAGGGTAAAAGTGGGTTTATGAAAAAGTGGTAAGGATAGGGAAATAGGTAATAGAAAGAAAAAGATAAAAGTGGGTTTATGAAAAAGTGGTAATGATATAATTGGAAAGTTCATCTATAATAATGTGTTATTTTGGACTTTTCGTAAGAGCCACAATTTCGCTATAGTGCTAAGAACCATTTATGAGCACTCATTCTTACACGGTGCGATTAGAGACCACATCTCTCTATGTGATTTTGAGGGTTAGGATTAGATTCTTTTGAGATGAGTTTATGTAAGAAAAATATAGAGGAGCTAGGTACCTATTTAGTGGGCTGATCCCACTTTTTTTTTCATTTAATGCCCACTCACTTTTCTCTTTCATATTTTTTTCCCCTTCCTCTCTATTTGTTTCGGAGATGAAATTTTTTTGCTGTAGTGGAAAGAATCACTCAAAATGAGTGATATTGATATCTCATGTAAAACTTGAGATTGTTGAGATAATTTAGTGGAGATTGTTTGATTATTTTTTTGTTCCAATTATATCCCTAGTTATTTATCTATATTCCCATAATACCTTTGAGATTTTATTATTTAATTTGCTCTCAT